CGTGGCATGTTAATGGATCTACCCAGGCCGGCCCGTTTGCAACTATGCTAAAAACTGCTCTCTGAAAATTATCCTAAAATCGTTGAATTTCAATTTTTTGAAAATGTCGATTTTTTATTGATTTTTCGGCTCCATTTTCCTTGATTTTTCCAATTTTAGCCTCTCTTAAAAATCCCCGATTTTCAGGTCATTTCACCCGCCCATTCCTGTACAATGACTAACTCCTCGACCATCACCGCTTCCACCCTCATCCTCATTCTCCTCGCCCCGTCCATGCACGCTTCCGGAACCATCGAACTGCTCGTCGCCTCGCCACGAACCATCCTTCTCGAGCCGACAGTCTGTGCGAATTTCGAGTGCGCCGCGCCGGATGAGCTGTCGAGCCCGCGAAAGGTACAAGGAGAGCTGAGATTCAACACCGGACGCTACCAAGGAGAATCCCGTGAGATCATCGATGTGCATCTCAAAGTTATCGAGCCCGGAACAAATGGTAAGAGAGGCATGCTATCTAGCGGACAGATAGGGAAGTTGTCCCTTTGTTTGCACTGACCATGTCAGAGATAGTGAGACACGGGTCATTTTAGACACCTTCCGGGCACCGGCCCTGTCTTATCTACGCACCAGAATGGTCCATAGATAGAAAAGCATCAAATTGTCAGGATTCGCTTTTTTCCAGCCATCCTCGCCATCGAACACCACCGCCCATCGGCTGACAATGAATGGAATCGCATGCCGATCGTCGTGACGACTTCCACCGGATTCAATGTGACCGTTCAGTTGAGGAACAAGTGTGATAGGTACGGTTTGTTGGGAGATTATCATACTTGTGAAGGGCCGGGCCGGGCCGAAACACGAATTTCACCGGCCCGGCCCGGCCCGGAGGCCCGGTCGGCCCGGAAGTTTACCGCGAACCTCAAAATCTTGAGCGAAAAGTTGAATCATTGTTTCGAAAAAAGGTATTCAGTGTTTTTTTCTTCGAGTTATTTTTCAATACATTCTAAAAATCAATAAATTCATTTTCAAAAACAAAAACAAAATTCAAAAACAAAAATTCATTATTCAAAAATTTTGTTTTTTTTTTTCTGCCGGGCCCTGAAAATTTTCTCTCAACCCGGCCCGGCCCGGGCCGGGCGGGCCGGGCCGAACCGGGCCGGGCCGAAATTTCACAAGTATGGAGATTATGAGCTTGGGAGCTTGGGAGCTTGAAGCTCAAAAGCTCAGAAGCTTATTAGCTCGTTTTTAGCCCATTTTTGACTATTTCTAGACTAGTTTTGACCCATTTTTTCGATTCTTTCTAGCTCATTTTAGCCGCCCGTTTGACAATTTCTCGACTTTTTTAAAAATCATTGTTAGCTCATTTTTGACAATTTCCAGCTAATTTTTGCCTTTTTAAAGCGCTTTTTAGCTCCTTTTCGGTCCATTTTCGACGATTTCTAGACTATTTTCAGCACGTTTTTAGCCTATTTCCGGCCATCTCAGCCCATTTTTGACATTTTCAAGCTTAGTTTAAGGCCATTTTTTAGTCTATTTTTCACTATTTTTACCCCATTTTCAGCCCATTTTACTGAATATTTTCAGCTCGTTTTCAATCTTTGCTAGACTAATTTTCAGCCTACTTTGGGCTATTTTTAGCTCATTTCGACTTTTTTCTAGATTATTTTCAGCTCATTTTTAGCTGATTTTTGACTATTTTTAGCCCGTTTCCGACCATGTTCAGCCTATTTTTAACTCATTTTTGACTATTTCAAGCTCATTTTTTTAAGCTTATTTTCAGCTCATTTTCGACATTTCAAAGCTCATTTTCAGCCTATGTCTGACCATTTTTGGCTCATTTTTGACTATTAGGAGCTTCGGAGCTTGGTCTTGATCTTCTGACAACTCTAGAATCTCAACGATCTCTATTCCAGCAACTACCACGGACACCGTTGCGGCAGCTACTGCATCCCATCGCCCGATCACCACTGGGAGTGCTCGCCACAAGGACAACGACGCTGCTTGCCAGGATGGACCGGCGGCGATTGCTCGACTCGTGAGTTTTTTTTAGTGTCTTGAGCACCTAAAGCAATGACGCTTCATCGCACTCTTTTGCTGCAAAATTTGGCCCAAGTAGCGACCGCTACGCCGACACGCGACGCGTCTGAAATTGGCTCGGTGCCAAGTTTCGAGTCGAGGGTCCCAATCTACCCGAATGCTCTATCTCCAAGGCGCCTCCCTCCCGGTCCATTAACCTCCCCTCATTTCACACATCTGGTCAATTGACAAGTCTTCTCTTCCGGCGGCACCACAAAGCCGTTGCGCGCGAAATGATGGCGCCAAAGGCTCCATTTCATTTCGCGCATTGCAAAAATGATTGAGTGGATTTGGGTGTGAAATTTTTACAGTGAAATTCTAAGAGTCAAATTCTAAATGGGCAAAAAATGGAATTTCAAATTTCCGGAACCACATCAATGAATTTTGATGGACAAGGTTAATGTGGTGGTGGTGCAGTAGATTTCAATTCGCTACTAGGGGATTTAGGAAAATGGGAAAAGACAATGCAGACTGACGGACAGGCAACACAGACACACACTAAAAAAACAGTTAGTTTTCCAATTAGCGAGAAGAAGAAGACAGAGGAGTCGTCCCCCAATTAACCTCGATTTCGATCCGGCCGCACCACCCGGCCTGGAGATCTTTAGAGGGTTTTGTGGACCTGAAAGCATCGGATCTACATATGATCTTTGGAAAAAATCACTTAGGCAGAATCACCTAGTCTAAATCACATAGGCAAACCTCCTAGACTAAACAACCCAGCCTAAACCACCTAGGCTAAATCACCCTGGTGAAACCACTCAGCCTAAAACACCTAGGCTAAATCACCTTGCCTAAATTACCTACCCTAAACTACCTAGGCGACACCTAGCCTAAATCACCTACCCTATATTACCTAGCCCAAACCACTCAGCCTAAGTCAACTAGGCTAAACCACCTAGCCTAAACCACCTAGGCTTAACCACTCATGCTAAACCACCTAGCCTAAAACTCCTATGCTAGCACGGTAAGCACTATATAAGGTGCTTTTCCAGGGCCTCAGATCTTTTTGGCAAGATAACCTAGCCGACACCACCTAGCACTATACAGGGTGCACCAGGTGTCTTACTTTGGTGGTAATTGTAACAAGTAAAAAGAATTGTACAGGTGTTTTCGGACTAATTTGATTAGGTCATCTCGTACAAGTTAGACAAATAAAGAGAAATGGCTGGCAACATAGTTTTGACACGGCGAGAGAGTTGCGTCAGAATGGACGCAGGTGGAAGGTAAATTGCCGTATTTTGAGCTCAATTATTTCGATTTCTGTTAAAGTATATAATAAAGATTTCTGTTAAAGTAGATAAGTCAACTGATAAAATGTTGAGGGTATTAGGATCAATATTTTATCAGTTGATAGATTTTTGATATCTTTTATAGGAGCTGAGATAATTGAGCGCAAACTTTGGGTTCTATGAGAGGGATACGGTAACTCGGGAAATTGAAAGAAATCGGACATCTGGAAACACAGAGACCACCTGATTTACAGCAATTTGCGCCTCTGGCTGCAACGGACACGGAAAATGCGTCGCCCCCAACCAGTGCGCCTGCATCAACGGCTACAAGGGAGCGCAGTGCGAGCAGTGTGTGCCACGCGCCGGTTGCCTCAACGGACAGTGCCATAACGACGTTCCGAACACGTGCAAGTGTCGCGATGGTTTCATCGGTGATCGATGTGATATTGGTAGGTTACTGTAGCTCCCAAAAAGAAGAAGGGCTCGAAATTCCCTTTAAAACCATATAATTTTCAATGCGTTTGGTTGCCCTTGAAGCGAGTTATGCGCCTTTGAAGTTTGAGACGCAGAGAAACGAGAGCGCTCTAGCTTCTCTGCGTCTCTCCCCTGCAAAGGCGCAACACTGGCTTCAACGACAACCAAACTCAATGAAAATTATCTAGTTTTGAAGGGAATTATCTGCTTCCAGACGTTCAAGTGTGCTCCATCGAGAAGCCGTGCGCCAACGGTGGTCGTTGCTCGATTGATACCAAGTCTCCGAACGGCTACAAGTGTGAATGCCCATTTGATTTCCTTGGACCACAATGCAAAACTCCATTGAGCAGTGTGAAATGCTCCGCCACAGCAAAGGATGTTTGTCAGAATGGTAGGTTCTGAAATTTGGCTGAAAAAATAGTTGCAAACGGGCCGGTCCGGGCAGATGGCGGGCCGGCAGATAACTCGTCTTAAGAACAAGACATTTTGACGGATTTGATATCAAATGTTAGATCTCGACGAGGTCCTATGTTCGGTCCGCGGCATGTTAATATACCCGAAGCCGGCCCGTAAGGTAAAGTTAAGATGGACCTCGTCGAGATCTATCATTTGATATCAAATCCGTCAAAATATCTGGTTCTGAAGCCGAGTTATCTGCCGGCCCGCTATCTGTCCGGGCCGGCCCGTTTGCAACTATGGTTTTTAACCTTCAAAATGGGGTTAAAAATTGGCTAAAAACA